CATTACTGAAAATCAGGTTCAAAAATCGAAAATACATCTGAAGAAACATAGCTTGCCTTGGGGGTTGACAGGCACTCAAAACCACGTTGATCTAGTCTTGGAAGCAACAGCAAAAAGTAGATCATCCAGAATTTTTCCACGTTCATGTAGCTGCAAAGATTGAGTCTAAGTGAAACCAATTCAGGCACCAGTCTTTCTATAGTTAATACATGTTCTCTCTGGGAATTGGACATGCTGAAATCTGTCAAATCAAATTGAAATTTCTTAATTAGTATTGAAGCAGGAAAAAAAGAACAAAGAACAACACATTTCGTTGGGTTTATCTTGCTTTATGCATGCCACACAAAACGCACTCGCAATGTTATAAACTATCTGACAGATCAAGTCACAATCATTTTTCTTCCAAAGAGCATTTGCAGAGGTGAGTGTTGACTTATGTTGAAGGACACAAGAATCCTGTTGACGTTACAATCATGTGGAGCTTGAGCTGGCCTTCTCACAAGAATAAATCTTACATATTATCATATAGAAACTGTTGAAGTTAGAGCTTTCATACTCCTCAAAACACACAAGCAACAGTTAAAGTCCTCTATGGCAGAATAAGTGAGATAAAGCTTCAATCCTTTCATAAGTTCAGTTAGGCCCTTCCATATATTGCGAGCCTATCAGCCAATAATCAAAGAAAAAACTTCATTTCCCCCCCAGAAAAATGGAATGTAGGAGTTCCAAAATAAGAATTCAGGAGAAAGACCAACCTTCTACAGAGGAAGTTCAAGTGGAAATGCAATTGCCACTAATTAGTTATCATTATGTTTGTTTACTCGAACTAGAATTCCCAAAGCGATCAACTTAATTCCAGTAACCCCCACCAGCCAAGAATCACACATGTTCAATTGAAAAAGAACGGGGAGAGACCATGAACGGTATACCTTACTATCACATAATCAAAGAGAGATGGAAATACCATGATCGAGTGGCGATGGAAATTCTATCCAACACTCGGGCCGCCTAGAAATTTCTCTCACAAAACGAACAACCTCATCCGTCGTCCCCGGAACAACCCCATCATTCCGATCATCACCTTCACCATTATCATCTCCCTGATCATCCTCTAAAGCTTGGCCCTCAGGCAGAATTAATTGAGAGGCAAACTCAGAAATTCCAGTGACAACTTTATTGGAGGAGAGAAGGGAGAGCGAGCTCTTGAAGGTTCCACCGATTTCCGCCAGATCGTTCCTGATCCCATCGACATCAAGACTTCTTGACGACGAGTCCACAGAATTGCCAGCGGAAGAAGAAGATGGCGGCGGAGCGAGGAAATTGGCGACGCCTCGGAAAAGAGAGGATACGTCATCTTTGATCGCAGACCCACCGTGGCGATTGCCGGAGGAGCTCCGCTCTGGTGAAGACGCGGATGTAACGGCTGTGTGAGGATGGGGAGATTGGAGGTCGTCGTTGGACTGGAGAGTCTTGAAGAACCAAGACATCTGAATTAAGAGTAAAAGTGAAGATTTAGTAAATTTTTCTTGTTAAGTTTTGGGTCAATGGTCAGTGCGGTACTGAGGTTTCCGAATCGAAGCCAGCAAAAGAGAAATGAAGTCTCTGGGGAAAAAGTCAGAGATGAGGAAGATGATTGGAGAGGGAAGTCACCAAATTAAGGATGTTTAATTGTTTTTATAGTTTCTTATGTTTTCCTCGTAGAATAAATATTTTGTGTATAAATGTGTATTTTCACAAGCTTGCGACTTAACTTCAAAGGCTGGCCTGTGTTTCAACTACTGGCGGGTGTATAAATCTTCAGCATACACAATTTTATTTCAGAATTAAGTATATAATTCTTCTTCAAAATATATGTTCGCCACATCCTAATCCAAAACTTAAGCAACAAATATATGTTCAACCCTTTATACTATTCTTTTTATTATAATTCAAATTAATATGTCTTCAACCAACTAATAAGCCTCAACCACTCCTTGCAAAAAGACCTAAAGTCTGTTAAAATTTTACCTAATTGGGAAAAAAGGCTAATAGTTCTTTTTTTGTGTTTTTCAAATAAAGGAAATAATTTATTGAATTGTATAAATGATTACTATCTTGCCTGTAGATTATACGACTGAAAACGGGGCAATTAACATATGACTTATTTCAACACTACAACATTAAAGGAATAAACATTTCTTTGTTATGCTAATCACAATATCTTTTTATTAGAGGTAATATTATTCAAGATATTATCGTATACTAAATATAAACAACTCTCTTAATAATATTAATTCGTCAATCCACTAGACTCAACCTTATTAATAGGAATGAACATTTCTAGTACAATAATAATCATGTTTTCTTGAGAATAATACAAGAGACCCAATAAAAACTCTTGTCAAACTACATTTCTTCTGGCCACCCAAAAAAAAAAATCGACTTCATATCTTTGTTGGGGGGAAAAAAATTAAAGGTCAGACAATCAAAATATAAGTTCTTATAGCGACAACGAGTAGACAAAATTGACAGGTATTTATAAGTTGATGACAATGGATGATGATACATGCATATGAATCAAATGTAGTGGATAAAATATAAGAACGCCGATTTAATGCATGGGACAAATACAATAAGGGGAAAAAAAGCCCGTGAGACATGACACGTGACCACCACCCCTGCATTAAATTAAATAATAAAAATCTTGAACTAAATCACCCAACCAAAAAGGTGCATGTGAAGAGAGGGTGTATATGAGGAGGAAGATTTTTAAAAAAAAAAAAAAGAGTTGCTGGGCAACACATATCGCGTCATTACTGATTTCGGGTTACTCGATGAAACCCTCTTAGCTTATGTTTTTTTTTTTTTGCCTCACCCCAAAACATATATATCTTTTTATTGAAAGCAATCCTATCTGTGGCTCTGTCGAGTACTAAATGTGAATACCTTTCTCAACGAGAATTCGAATCTTGGTTCGTCACGTTATGAGAACTAACCTCTTCTGTTTATGTTTTTAGTTATTTATTTATTTTTATTTTGGGTTGAAAATCACTTGTATTCCGCAGAGATACTTGGTTGGTTCACCATCAACTGAGCTTTATGGTAGCCTCCGTCCTTGTCCCGCATTTATCGTAGTTCATTGATATTTGCACCACAATCGTTTTCATCTATTATTTCTCCTCCATCCACTTTGGCAGGTTTTTAGATGACATCATAACCATCTTCTCTATTTGCTCTCAGTTCACTCTGGGATAGAAAGCACATCAGAGGAAGACTACAACAGAGAGAGGGGAACAGGATGCAGCGTATTACCTCTAATCCTAATTATAAGAGCTAGTTAGCTAATTTGAGGAGATTAAAAAAAAAAGTTAAATTAGTTACTTGTAATAAATAGATGTTGCCTTTCCAAAAATATCTTTACTAATCAAGTGTATTAGTTAGAACGACTATTGTTAGAAAAATTAACTTGAAAAAAAAAGTATAAATATAATAGACAAAGTGAATTAGAGTCTTATATTTAGGATCAAAATAAAAGTCAAACAAGATCTTATATTAAGGATCGGAGATAGTATATAATAAGCAAATAATTATAAATAATATTTATACATGCCAAGAAAAATCTAATCGCCCACAAATTTATTGTGCTGGCTCTCGATCATTTAATGGTAGGCAAATATGTACCATTCAAACCATTGATTACACCTTAAATCATATCCGGTTACTGTATATTAGACATGATTCCTTCTAGCCGTGAAGCATCAAGAATTAACTTACATACAGAGAACTTCTCCCCAGCTAATGGAAGAACTCATTTTCACTTAGCAAGTTTAACAACTCTTGGAACCATTTTAAAAAAATATTTTTACATAAATCGAGACAAATTTTTTTTTTTACATATTTATCTTGTACGACATGTAAATTTTGTTGGCAAGAGTATTGTGACACTATCCAATCATTTGTTTTGGGTTTAACTGCTAAAACTGAACATTTGGAACAAAACGGACCAAAATTAACAGCCAGTGGGGTGATGCTATATATTAAGCATTTACCCAGAAAATTCATAAGTGGTCTACAGGAAGCTGACAAGTGATCACTTACAACATTTAAACTGACAGTTCACAAATTTTTGTTTGATAAATGAAGTATCAATAATCACATGATACAAACAATTTCTATCATACATGAAAAAATCCAACAAAAAGAAAAAACTGAGAGAAGTTATCCAGAACAATTTTTCTGCTAACGCATTAACAGTAATGGATCAGGAGAAAGAAAAAAATTCTAAGTGGTCTGAATAAAAGCTCATTATCAGTTTTCTTGAACTTAATAGCCAAATAATGAAAAACCTCTCTCTCACTAAATTATTCAATAAAGAATTTCACTCTTGCTATCTACTGCACATACACAACATATAGTACAAGTCTGTCTATCCTTGGTGTCTCCCAATCTCAGAATCCAAAACTGAGCGTCCGCGTTTCTCTTCATCGAGTTTTATGTAGAAAGAATTTGTTTTCCAGGTGAAGTGTCTACATGAGACCGGTGTATGGATTGTACGCTTGAACAGGCACACCCGAGCCATAGGGGTGGACAGTAGCTCCATAAGGATTTCCAAAAGGGTTAGAAGATTGTTGCTGAGGGGCCATCATCATCATTTGCTGCTGCTGCTGCTGCTGAAACATGAAAGCCTGCTGCTGGTTGGTCATGGCAGCCATCTGGACAGAAGGAGGAGCAGCAACCGCATTAGAAGCGAAAAATGGATCGTGCACTGTCGGCTGCATCATTGTTCCCATAGGCGCAGGCTCCCATGGATTATAGCTCACATTCTGGTTGTTCCTTCTGACTGCATCATCATATAGGCTGTCTAGTGTAAGCTTGTCTAACCCTCCCGCCTGATCATTCAGATAATCCATCAACACTCGTTAGAAGAATAACAAAAGGATGAACTGACTGCATGAAGGACAGAATATTAAATTGAGCAGAAATTTTCAAATAAGGCTTCACCAGTTTGCTAGCTGCAGAAGCACTCTCATTAGAACTTGGAGCTGTAACAAGTGCCAATTCCCAGCCTGTAGTTCCATTTTCTTGTTTTGAAACAGAAGTTGGCTGATCAGCTGAAACCATCAGCAATGAGTAAGTCATAAGAAATGACACTAGGATACATGCCTACAAGACTAAAGTATTGAAATTTTAGCTGCACACCAAGGGAGGAAATGAAGGGAATGCCAAAGCATAATTCACTCAATTAAGTCCTTAAAAGTCGGAGGTTTAGCCCTAAGAATGTTTAGAATCATTCTTCTTCAAAGAGAACCATTCAGTCCACTTATAATCAAATAACTTATTCATACCCACAAGTGCAAATCCACAACCTTATTTTACCAATACAATTAAATAGAGGAAAAGGAAGAACAGCATACCAACAGGAACAATGGCTAATGCCAAGGCATTCTTCTCTTCCAACTCTGATGCAGCAGGAACAGGATCATCCAAATTCTAGATGGCAAGCCAAAACAAAGTAAGTTCGTAGTTGCAGCTAAAGCATCATTTAAAAATCAGATCGTATCCAAATCAACCAGTTAGCAATCAGCCCAAGTCAAAAGCAGGAAACTAAGAGGAGTTCCAATAATTTACCAACAAATCAGGCGGTGGTTGTGCTGCAGGTGCTTCCACTTTTACAGGTTCAGGAGGGGGAGGTGGAGGTGACTCCTGCACAGGTGCTGCAGGTGCCTCCTGCGCCTCTGATGTCTTGTTGTATTCTATAGCCAAAACTTCTTTTGGAGGGGCAATTTTGTTGTCAATGCCCTGGTCCATAATTATACACGGAAATCAGTTTATTAAGGTATTAACAGAAGATTCCATATGTTTAGACCCCAATGTATTACTCCAAAGCTTTTTGGGCATGAGAATAACGTGACTTAAATATTCACCAAGCTGCCATATTACAAAATGGTTGGACCATCTTCTTAATCACAACTTGTGTCAAAATGATTCCCCTTTGCATTCGACTTCTAGCAGCAAGCATATTTTTGTTATTGACAAGTAGATAGCCAATAGGAATATGACTGCGTCAATTATAAGTACAACAACTAGAAGTTCCTTCTTTTTCATTTTGCACTTGCATCCATAACATCAGTCTTGTCAATTCCTGATTTGTAAGGATATGTGTTCAGATTAGAAAAGACAGTGCCGTACCTGATCCTTGCGGACTATTGAATCCCGGGGAGCATCTTTGACATACTCTTCCATGGCTTGCAGAAATGATGCAGGGGGCTTCATGTCATCAACTAATTTCACTCAGTATTGTATTTAAACAAATATTTTAAGAAAATAGTAATTGAAAAGGCAAGAGACATGAGCCAACAAACCTGCTCGATTTTAACAAATTTCTCTCCTCGCCCAATATCAAGATTTCGACATATTTCATAAAACTCAGACAGTCTCTCAGCCTGGAAGGAGTCACATTGAGGATATTAAAAGATAACCACGGGGATAAATAGAAGAATAAAAAAGAATTCTACAAGTAATACCTGCTTCCCAGCCCTCCTGTATATATCAAGAGCTCTCAAAGCATCAGACCGTTGCATCTCAAAAAACTGTGACAATACTCTCGTTAATACTTGAAAAGTTTAATATTGAAGCTTCATATTCAAGACAACTCACAACCGTACTATACCTTATC